TGGGACAGTAAGAATCCAGCAGAGATATTCACCTCTTGCATCCTTTTCTGCTGACATGGAACATCCAGTTGGTTTCAGGGACATATTCTCCCATGGACCAGCACACTCATGCATCTTGCAGGATCTAAATGCTCCAAGGGATTTCTAAAGCTTTCCAAGAATAGCCTTCAGTTGCTGCTAGCTTCCACCAAAGCCCTGCCCAGACCAAATCTGAACAGTCCCTAAATTATTTAGAGCTCAATTATTACACCTGGGTCATTTGCAGTGACTCATTTGTAGTGTGTCCAGTTTGAGGCATGTGGGAGAGATTAATTACTCTCCTTGCATGGGTCCTGTCTAGACTGGGAAACTGAGGTGTGTCCAGCAGACCAGGGACATTTGGCCAGGCCGGGTTTCACACAGAGCACATAGCAGAGGAACTCTGAGCTCTTCCAGGCAGTGGGAGGGTGCTTGGCTTGACAGGAATTGCCAGTGTCACATTTCAAATGGAGGTGTGTGATATAAAACCACCCAAATTCTCACTCAGTGCATGTGGCTTCAGTGTCTGTGGGAACAACACAGGCAGGGTCACCCCAGCACACACACGAGTCCCAAGCCAGTGGGAGCAGCCCTGGGAAAATCAGTATCCAGCAGGACTGGCCTCTGCCAAGCACACATCTGGGGGTGACAAACACCAGCAACCTGGCACTGAGCAGCTTTACAGGACAAACAAAAAGTCAGGCTGAACCTGATGGGATTGCTCCTTGCATCCCACTGTTGGGATAGCACGAGCCATTCGAGATGGAGCAACACAAGGAGGGCAGAAAGCTGCATCCTCCTCTTTGCCATCTTACCTGACACAAGCTCTGTCCTGCCAGCCCACAGCCTGCTCCCCCTGACCTCCCTTTCAGCTTTGAAGCCATTTATCCCTATCCTGTGGGGATAAGGGCTGGAATTTTGTAATGAGTGTCCTGCGAACATGCATGGACCTTCCTGGGCCCATGGCTTGTGTCCTGCATTGACATCACCCCATCCAGCAGAAAGGATTTGGTACCCCCAATACAAATAAGTCGGAAAACACAAGATTCCAGCTGCTGTGACTCTGGGCATCCGTCAGAGCCAGCAGTGTCATCACTCAGGCACAGGCAGTGCACTCCTGGAGTCACTCCACAGCACACACAGCTGTGGGAGGACAAACCTCATCCTCCACACTCCCCAAGCTTCATCCCTCAGCTGATGCCTCCACGTGCTGTAAAGCCCATTTGAACTCTCTCCCAGGGGAGAGTGTGGACACCGACATGTAAGGACAGGTTTGGCAACTGCTGTTTACAGGAGAGGCCTCAGGTTTTGGCTGGTAGAGACAGGCAGAGGCCTCCTCTCAAATTTCACGTAAGGATCTGACCAGAGGGCAGGACAGTGCTAGGGCAGGACACGGACAGCCCCGAGCCATGGGAGAGACAGCTTTTCCCTCCCTGGCTCCCCTCTCACCTCCCAAATACTCCACAGCACTTAACACCAGGCAGGGTTTCTCCTCCACAAGCCCATTTCCCTTCATGGGTGTCACAACCACCTCCCACAACCAAAATAAGGGTGACACTGCACCCAGACAGGGGTGGTCATTTGGGGGCAGCAGCCCAACACCCTCAGAGCTGTGGCTCTGCCCCAGAGCACCCACAGCTCCGAGGGAGGGTGAGGCTCCTCCTTGGGCTCTCTCCGGCAGCAAAGCCAGTTTAAGAGGTTCCTACCTCACCCTGTCTCCCCATCTCACACTTCCACCTCTCCAGCCACCGCAGGTTTGCTGGTGGGGCAGATAGTTCACTACCCCAGCACAGACAACAATTTGGATTAGGTGCTTCCCCACTGCCAACTTCCATCCAGGACCACAATCCCTAATTCCCTGAGGCAGTGTTCAGCTCAGGGGCATCAGCTCCTGAGGCACTGACTGAGGGAGGGAGAAAACCTCTTAAACCAGCTCTGCCACCCCAGCAATCCTAACTGGGAACCACACCCTGACATACAGACTGCTGACTTGACAGCAGCGGGGAGACCACGATGGGCAGGATCTGTCCTCTGGATAACAGCACTCTCCTGCTGTGCTCCCAAGCCATTCCAAAGTGATCCAGCGCTGCTGCCCTTCATTCCTAACCCTGATCATTGTCACTGAAAGCCCACGGCATCACTCTGGTGATGTGCTAATCCCAGCCTGCAATTCACAGGGTCTTGCTACTCTTAGCTCACAGCAAAGGCCTGGCAAAGAGAGCCCTGGAGCAGGGAGAAGGAGAGATTTCCTCACACTCCAGCACCCAGGAATACGCAATTACTCCCCTGCAGAAGGACAGGCAGACTCTGTGAGGAAACACAGCACCAGGTCGACTGAACTTCTTTATTCTTGCCTTTGGGAAGTCCAGGCTCCTCGTGGGGAGCCTGGTGTGACATGGGCTGGGTGCAGCCACCCAGTGACAGCCAGTGAAGATTTCCAAGTCTCCGTGAGGGACCGTGGCATTGTTAGTGCCAGGGCTAGACTGTCACTCAGGCACAGGACACAATGGAGCATTTCAGCTCCTCCATTAAGGGCCTGCAAAGCGCACAACTCCAGCTTGAAAAGCTGGCACCTCAGAAGAATTGCCTCGTTAGGCAGCTGAGGAGAACATTTATACAGAATTAGGAGAAAACGACTCCTGCAAATCCCATCCTCCACTACTCAGCCCTGCATCTCTGGGTGAGGAACACGGATATCCCGTATCCGTGTGTCCTCTCCGCCCTCATACAGCATCACCCACCGCCTGTACGAGCCTCACCAGGACACAGCTTCTCCCACAGGTTTTTTTGGATGGGTGCAAGGCATCCTCCTAGTGATATCCCTGCATCCTGAGAAACTCACCCAGGCCTTTATAATCCTGGGAGTCATGGATACAGAGCCTGAACTTGGGAGCAAGCACAAGTTAGAACAGTGCAACCCACCTAATCTGTCATTGTACCACAGGGAGATGTGTGAACTGGCAGAGAATTCTTGTAGGAGTGAGACTACACCTGGAGCAGAGGTGAATTTCTCCTCCAAACCCAGATCTTTCCCCAACACTGACAAATTCATTCAGAAAATAGACACGCGTCAGATTTTTGTTGAACCAGAGGAAGGCAACAGTACTGCAAACTAAATAAAATAACATAAACCAGTCAAGATTTCCTCTATATCTTGATGGAAACCAGTCAGGAAAAAGATGCTGTTGCTGTGATTACCTGACACACCAGAAAACAAACTTTTTTTGCCATCTCAGGCCATCAAAACATGCAATTAATTCAGCTCCTTCACCACTATAAACTATTCTAGTCCAGGCTGTTTGGCTACTTAGATTATTTTTTTTAAATATATATTTTTTTTTGCTGTCACGCACACACTGAACCCCAGTCAGTCTGCTGATAGCAGCAGAAACACTGTAATAACCAACTACCTGCTTCCCTACCTGGAACTTTTAATTTAGGCCTACTAAAACCAGCTCCCAAGTCCAAGGCATACACAGGATACTCAAATAAGTCATATTCAGCACTTTTGCCTTCCTGGATAATTGAAATCATGCTTTACAAAAGAAAAATAATCATCTTTTAAAGGTACTTCAACAAGGGAGCGTCACCGATACAGGGAGAGCACGGAACCAGCTGGAAGTTTCCAGGAAAAGCAAGGCATGAGGTAAAGCTGTCCCACCACACAGGGGTCATGCCTCCTCCTCTGGGCCACAGGCCAGCACAGAGAACACACACACAGGTCCAGGTGAGCCTCATGCTCTGCTTGCTGCACATGTGCCTTCCCAAACCCCTTAAGCACCGAGCTCATCAGTGTACAGGCATTTATCCAGCTTAGCACATTCTGCTGGAGCCCAGCCCACCTGCACCAGGACACCAACTCTCCCTGATTTTTATTTGACAGATTAGAAGCATTTTTAAACCAGTAAATTCATGGCTGATAGCCCCCTTCACCTGCTGTGTCTTTGTCCAGAGGTTTTGGGTTAGTCCTGGGTTGTTCCCCAGTCAAACCAGCACCTTGAGTTGTGTGCTGCACACTTGTGGGAACCAGTGTGTCAGGATGAGGGAGGAGGTGGGATTGCTCCTGTTGCCAAGTTAAAACATCCACCAAAACACTTGGGAGCTCTCCACCACCCTTTCCATGGCCAGCACCCAGAACTGAGGGCAAAGCTTAATGCCAAATACCACATGGCCTCACACCAAATGAGTCCAGAGTATTAAAGGATAAGGATTTACCTTTATGGGCAGCACCTTGAAGGTGAGAGAACAGGTAGTGCTGTGACTCAGAGAGCAACACCATCACAGAGCTGCCACTTGCCCTTCCTAGGGGTTTACAACTGCCTCAAAGCCGTGTGGGAGACACAGCAGCTTCCCTGGGATCTCTGGGAATATCATCTCAGACTCTCAGAGCAGCTGCTCCCAAGCTGTTCCCAGTCACAGCCATGGGATTCCCAGACCATGGGATTCATGCAGCCCCCCCAAACAGCAGCACAAACACCAGACAAGCCAGAGCTCCTGACAGGGCCTAACTGGGACCTGACTGCTAGAACAGCTCCCTCCAAAAGAACACAATGGGACAAGACACAGGCACAAGAAAACCAGCTTCAGGCTGAAGTTTTCTCAGATTTCACAGCACACTCAAACCAAGGCCCACAGAACAGCCACACACAGTGTTTCAATTCCTCTCCTTGTTCCAGACACACAGACAAAACCTGTTGTGACAAACTACGCTGACACTTCTTTCATATCCCTATCCCAAAGCTCCTTACTCAGCCTCCAACCCTCCTCTCTTCCAGAGCCCAGCAGCCAAATTCCCTTCAACCTTGGTGACACAAAAGAACCCACAAAGCCACTGCCAGGCAAGCTCACTCTTCTGGGCAGGCTGCAGCCATCCACCATAAGCCTGTTTGGGTTGTTCAACCCTCCTGCCAGGAAAAGCCTTCTCCTTCTCCAGTTCCAACAGTACCAAGACCAGAATAGGATTGTTTAGGGCCAATACTGACCAGTCTTTGGCTGTAACGGATCCGCTCTTCCTCAGGCTCCATCTCCGACTCCTCTGAAGAGAGCGAAAAGGACACGCCAGGACTGCTGTCTTCGTCCTCTTCCTCCTTGGAAGCCAGAGGGAAACAGTGAAGCAGGACATGGAGACACAGGACACCTACACCCCCCACCTCCCTGCTCTTTTTGGGGCTGACCCCACAACCCTGTGCAGCGCTAAGAGGACACAGTGGCTGAGCCCACCTCAACTTTTAAGGCTCCCATTCTAATTTAGGCACGACCCAGTAAATGACTTCACCAGCTGCTCTGTAATGTGACAGGACCTGCAAGTCTCTCATCAGGAAAAGGCCTTTGCTCCACTCTACCACCAGCCCAAACAGCAGCTCCGTTGGCCCACAGGGGGATAAGAGACAGCGAAGGTGCTGTCAAACCCTCAGTGGCAGTCAGGGAGCAGCCTGGCTTCCCCAAAATAATGCATTAGAGAATCAACTCCTCCAAACAACACAACCACTGTCCTCGGGATCTCCTCTACCGTGGTATTTGGGAGAAGCTACACCAGCACAGAACATCTCCCATGAGCAGGGAAGGCACATGGGATCTCCCCTACATACAGCACCGAAGCAGTGAAGCACTCAGGGATCTAACTCCTGACTTGAGGAGACCTAAATGCTTGGATCTCCAAATGTGCCACCTGGTGACACCGAACACCAACCTGGGAAAACCTCCTGAGGCGTCAGATGGCACCTACACTCTCCTTTTTTTTTTTTTTCTAAGGGACAAGAAGGAATCAAAGCCCGGGTATATTGAAGCTCTTAATCCCCAGGACTATGCCTAAGCCAGACCTTCAGGGGAAAGGGGTCGGGGAAAGGGGGTCAGGAAAGGGGATCTGCCACCCCGTGTAGCGTTACAGAACCTCTACCACCGTGTAGAGAGAACTTGCTCCCTCCTGCTCCTCCCCGATCCTCGGGTTTGACAGCAGATCATCCCCAGTCCCGCCAGCACCTTGCCCACCCCTGCCTCCCTTCGAGCCCCGAGACCAGGACTCCCGGCTCGGCCGAGGGAAGCAGTTTCCCCGCACTTGCTGAACTCTGTTTATAAACAACCGGACAGCCGGGAGCGCAGCGCGCCCGCCCCGCCGCGGGGCGCGGGGGAGACCCCCGGCCCTCTGGGCGCCCCCGGCCCGGCCCCGCCGGGGCAGGACGGACGGCGGGGGGCAGGGAGGGTCCCCGGGGAGCTGTCAGCCGGCACCCGCCGCCCCCTCCCCAACTTCCCGGCGCGGCCTCCGGGGGCCCGACTCTGGGAGACCGGCCCGCCCCCGCTCCCGCCCGGCCCCGCGCCCGCGCCCCGCGCCCGCCCCGGGGGGCGGCCGGTGACCCCCGCGGTGCTCACCAGGTCTCTCCTGCGCCTTTGTCCTCTTCTGCCGCCGGCACGGGGGGGGGAACAGAACACACGGAGGAAGGGGGAACCCCCCGGGTCAGCAGCGATCGCGCCCCGCGCCCGTCGCCCTCCCCGGACCCGCCGCCCCCGGCGCGGGCAGCGGGCGCTGACAGCGCCGCCGGCCGCCCCCCGCCGCCGCGGGCCGCGTCCCCCCTCCGCC